GACTGACGACTCTTGAGGATGGGGTGGCGCTGGTCCCTGCAGATGGGGCCCCACCGGCCGATCCTCGTCCCCTCCCGGCAGCGAGGGTTTGCCTCTGCCTCAGGAACCCCAAATCAATACGGGGCGTGCTGGATATAGCTACCTCAAGGGCGTCCTCGGTGTCTAGAGATTGTAGGATTTGGAAGTTCGGCCACGAATCTCTCCCCGAAGTCCCCACCTCGGCGTGCGAAGGAACCAAGTCCTCTCTGACCTCGAGCTCTTCAACTTCACCCTCTACTTCTGCCTTCGAGGCCCGGTCAGGGTCTTTTTCCAAGTTCTCCTCGACCTCTTGCCCCACCGCCTGATCGAAGAGTTCAGACCACCGCGAAGGCTCGAAAGGCTGTGGAAGCTATGAAAACTTTTTATATCCGGGAGTGTAATTCAGGAGGATGTGGGCAGCCCGGCCGAGCCCGTCGTCACTAGTGAATCTCCAAACAGTGACTAGGTCCGCAAAGTTCACCAACGACCGAGGTGGAGGAGCTGTTTCCCGAGGGGAGATGTCTGCACAAGCAAAAAGAGGAGAGTGGGTCATGAGCACGTAGAAAATCTCAAAAAACAATGTAATAAACCCGAAGGAAGGAACCGACGTACTTGTCGTTCTCCATTCTAAAGGGCATAACAAGCCGTTATACTCGGGACCGACACCTCTCTGCCAAGATCCCTTGAAGATAAGTAGGTCATCCTTGTACCCCTTGTCCGAGTCAGGAAGGTGAGTTACGAGGTACATAGATGGGTCCCTGACTTTGAGGTAGAAGTGTTGTTGAGGTATGACTCTCAAGAGAGAATAACAAAAAAGGATATCGTTCATCCTGACATTTACCTCCANGGTGAGTTACGAGGTACATAGATGGGTCCCTGGCTTTGAGGTAGAAGTGTTGTTGAGGTATGACTCTCAAGAGAGAATAACAAAAAAGGATATCGTTCATCCCGACATTTACCCCCAGACGCCTATTGAGCTCTAGGACCCCCATAATTATCCTGAAGACATTAAGGCAACACTGCCCGGGAAAGAGGTGGAAATGAGAGAAGAACTGGAGAAGCAGAGGGGGCAAAGGGAACCTAATTCCACCTTCTATGATGGCTTTGATAAAAAAAGGCATTGCATCCTCGGTACCGAGGGTGCACAGTCGGGTTATAATCCTCTATGTCTACATTCGGGGGAACGCTGTACTTAACCCTAAATCTATTAATTTGTTCACCACCTTTTACTTTATACTTCCCTGGCCTCGAAGTACTAACCTGAGGATTCTCGAGGGCAGGGCGACAANCCTCTCTGCCAAGATCCCTTGAAGATAAGTAGGTCATCCTTGTACCCCTTGTCCGAGTCAGGAAGGTGAGTTACGAGGTACATAGATGGGTCCCTGGCTTTGAGGTAGAAGTGTTGTTGAGGTATGACTCTCAAGAGAGAATAACAAAAAAGGATATCGTTCATCCCGACATTTACCCCCAGACGCCTATTGAGCTCTAGGACCCCCATAATTATCCTGAAGACATTAAGGCAACACTGCCCGGGAAAGAGGTGGAAATGAGAGAAGAACTGGAGAAGCAGAGGGGGCAAAGGGAACCTAATTCCACCTTCTATGATGGCTTTGATAAAAAAAGGCATTGCATCCTCGGTACCGAGGGTACGAGGGTGCACAGTCGGGTTATAATCCTCTATGTCTACATTCGGGGGAACGCTGTACTTAACCCTAAATCTATTAATTTGTTCACCACCTTTTACTTTATACTTCCCTGGCCTCGAAGTACTAACCTGAGGATTCTCGAGGGCAGGGCGACAACGAGACATCTTCAAAAAGTGATAAAAAATAGAGGGGGTCTTTTCCACGAAGATCCCCAAGAAGGCTTCCCGAGGATTGGTCGCTGAATGGCAACCAGAAAACACCTCCCGTTATCAAAAAACCAAAAGAGACAGAAGGGCGAAGAAAGGGAAGATACTGGGACTCACCAGAGTGTAAAAAGAAGTTTTTTTTGGAAAACTTGAATCGACTTCTTCCAAAATGTTCAGAAGTAAGGATGGGTCTGCTGGCCTTAAAACTTCAGTGAAAAGGTTGGGCAGTTGACAACGGAAGGAAAGAGGTCTCCGGCGAAGATTCAGGTAAGGGTTCTCTGGAGAAAGTTCGGAATGACGAAATAAGAGAAGAAGAGAGGGAGCCCCTTTATATATAGTGCCTATCCCATCAATGGGCACGAAGCACGTAAAGGCGCATTTAATGCGCACGACATCCTAAGCAGGGAAAAACGGCTAGGGGCAATGATGAAGCAGTTGGGGTTGTTGCAAAACTCTTCGTCTCCTTACAACACGTGTCCTCGGTGTCAGAAGATCGAAGGCTGGGGGGACTTGATTTACGTACCAAAACGACCCACGATCCAAATAACATTGGGTCGACTTCTATGGGACAGTTTAACTTGTTCATTATTTACAAGAAGGATGAGCTTGAATCTCCAGTTTTGCTTTGATGGCATTTTGGAGACTTGATTAATTTAAATGATTCTCACACGGTTAAAGGTCACGGTATCGGTCATCAACTCGGAGAGCTCTGAGACACATCAGTCGCGGCATCAGGCGATATGATTTAGAAGAAAATGTTGAACATGATGAGAAATTTAGAACATATCACGGTGTCGCGAAACCATATCGGTCAATTCGGTGACTTGGGATTGACTCGGATACAACTCAGACGACTCGGCCGAGTTGTGCGAGACTTGGGATTTATACGTATCATGTAACGGTATCGTCTCCGAAAGTACCGAGACGAATACAACTCAGCCGACTCGTATCGGTATCGGCCGATACTTTGAACCATGTTCTCATTGTTTGTTGTGATTTTTTTACTTCTATCTATAGTTTCACATCATGTTGTGATTTTGTTGGCTTTAATATCTACTGCAGGTTAACAACACCGATGCTGAAGGCAGACTTACTCTTGCTGATGCTTTGGTATATGCTTGTAATCAGGGCGTAGAGAAGGTATTTTCTAATTACAATATCTATTAGTCATTTATTTTTTAATTTTGATTGTAGCAATATTCTGTTTGTTTTTTCCTTATGATTGACCATTTATCAAACCTCTAGTGCAATTATGATTTAATATTGAAAAAAACAAGGTATGAGTATAATTTTTCTTGAATAGGAAAATTTGATGTATCAAAATCCTTAGAGGCTGACACTTTCTCCTTTTTTTGTATTATATATATGAAATCATGTTCTTGTTTTATTAACTTGTATAGTTTTCATACATACTATGCTAGGATATCATTAATTGCTGGGTCAATTTCAGAACAAAAGAAACGAAAGAAAGGGTACCAGGTTTTCTTGTCAAGGATGAGAATAAAAATTTGAAACAGCTGATTTATCTTACGCCCCTGGATTATGTAACTAACCTGTAGTTTGAAATATTAGTTCAATGCTGTGTTCATTCCACACCATCCAATATACGTAGGGAGAGGATACATAATTTATGCTTTAGCATCACACACCGACAAGCTTCAGTTGCCCGGACAAACAAAATCAGTAATCGCAATGACGAGCTTGAACTGTTTGCTTTTTAACTCTTTTTGTAAGAGTTTTTGCCTTTTTCCATAGTCATTTTAAATTTACATATGTTCTAACGTTGTGTTCCCCTGTTATGCAGATAGTTGATCTGGCTACATTAACTGGGGCTTGTGTAGTTGCACTTGGGCCCACTATTGCAGGTATATGGATTTTTATATCTTTCTTCATTGTCATGATAAATTTGGATTTTTTATATTACTTTATGGGGTTGTCTGAGATCCAAGAACTGTAGATGAATGCATTGTGAAAACTGAAAACATCATTGTAAGCCAAAGAGGAATTTGAACATGTAGGTTATTATGTCTTTAGAGAAGTGCAAGATATTGTAATGTATTATTGGATCCATCACTTGAGCTTCTCACCAAGAATTTTCTAAGTCACGAATTGTATTAATGAGAAATGGAAGTTCTTTCCAAGGTTGAGGAAACTTTTCTGATGCCCCTTTAATGTTCTTTTTTATTACAGTGGAATAACATCAAATAAAACAAAGATGAACAAAATTAAAATAACTCTTGATTGAATTTAAAAAGAAAATGTGATGAGGATAAAAATAGGATAACCAGGGTCATCTGGGGACTCACTCACCTAGAGAACCACTTAAATCACTGCTACCTGGGGACTCCGCCATTGTTACTTTGTTCATGGATTGACTTGGTACATGTTATGGGTATGGGTACGGTACTATTTTTCTTCCAATTCGTTGTGCAATGAGGGTATACTTATTCATTTTGGAACTCTTCTTTGGATTGCTTTCACTATTGTATGGAATTATATAACTATACTTCCATATACACGTAGCTGATTAATTATTTTATATATATGATAGAGTTCCCAAAAGGAGCTGTACTTATCAGCTAATGATTGTAAATAATCGAAGTTAATTGTTACATATTTCTAATATAAAAAAATTCATATGACAACTGATCAAAATATATTTTTAGATGTCACTATAAAAAGAAATAAAGTACCTGGGTTAAAGTTACGAAAGGGTTATAACTTGGACGCAGTAATGTGGACAATCTATGTCGCGAACCCACAATGATTGGAGATGTACAACCCCGGCTCATGGTAGTCAGGACATATGGGGTACCTCCAATCTCGGCATCTATGGACTCGCCCACCAAAGTTGAGAAGAGGACTGTTAACCCTAAAAGTTTTGTGGGGACAAAAGTGTTCAAACACTTTTGTGGCACAGAAAGCTCACACCAATTACATTGTTCTTCAACTCATCATCTTATGCTAACTTCATTGCACATATATGTATATGAGAACTAGCGGCTGGAAACTAGCTGTTACGGATTATTCAACCAGATGTTGTAGAATGATATTCCACGATTCTAGACCCAGATTGTGTGTCTATGCTTTGCTTGATACATCATCATTCTGCACTGTGGTGCCTTGTAACCTATTGCCTTCGAATTTGGTAGAAAATGCCAAAAGAATTCCAAATGTTTTTTGAAATTTTATTGAAGTTCTCAAACTCAATATGAAACAGGCATCTTTACACCTAGCGATGACCTAGCAAAGGAGGTCCTTGCAGCTTCAGTAGTTGCTGGGGAAAAACTTTGGAGGATGCCTTTGGAGGAAAGTTATTGGGAATCCATGAAATCAGGAGTAGCTGATATGGTGAATACTGGTGGTCGTCCAGGTGGTGCTATCACCGCAGCTCTTTTCTTGAAACAGGTAGAACGTTTGAGTATTTTTTTTTTGTTTGCTTTTAATTATACGAAGTGTTGGAAATCACCAACCAGTTTTAGGATTGAAATGCCTGACATTGGTGTAAGGTTACACCAGTTCACTTGGTAAAAATGCAACATCCCCGAAGCAAGTCTACCCTAATGGAAACATTTGCTGGCTTTGTTCATATTGGGCATTGTACTTTCCAGTACAATGAGTGAACCCATCGATGGAAGTTAACAATATTAATACATGAGCCTCATGGAAGGGATGAAGCCTATGTTCCAAACACCTATTGTTAGAGGAATGAACCATGTCATCCTTCTTACCAATCTTCTATGGTGTACATAATACCTTGGGCCATCATGAGTGCATAGCTCTGCATTGTGCAATGGCTTGATACATATATACATGCTCTTCTGGAGCATTGTACAAAAGATGGTGGTTCCATTCCTGTTTCCATGAAAAAAAAGTCCAGAGACCACATAAAATTATGCGACTCAGCAATGCTTGAAATTTCAGTTGTTTTTCCTTGGAGAGATGACTGGTTGATTAGCGGTAGGGGAGGTATCTGACACTGCATCTGTTCTTTTGCAGTTTGTTGATGAGAAGGTTCAATGGATGCATATTGACATGGCTGGTCCCGTCTGCAATGACAAGACGAAAACTGCAACTGGATTTGGCATTTCGACTCTGGTAGAATGGGTTTTGAAGAACTCTTCATCTTAGTTTCATCCTCCATTCTTCTGCTCAAGAAGCCTACACTGTTCAAACAAATTGGGACATCAGGTAGAAAAAAAAAACCTTCATGGGGTTGTCTGGTGCTTTTTCAGAAGAATAAAATCTGTTATGAAAGAAAATAAATAGTGTTGAACTGAGACAGAGGTTGTGCTGAGCCTGCTTCAGTGACTTATCACTGTTTGATTTTCTGTTTGAAACTTTGAAATGCCTCTAAAGAAATGCATGAAAACTTTGTATGTTATTTTTACTCCTTGATAGCTGGAGAGTGTTCTGGTCAGGATTGTGACCTCTTTTGCTCTCTACCCAAATCCATTATGCATTAGTTTCCATAATATTATTACAATATAGAATAATTCTTATAATACTAGATCGAGATAGGGGGAAAATAATCAGATTTTTATTTTTTAAAAAAACCAGTGAAACAGGTTTGTTTGTGTCAAAGTCGAGTGACTATGAACCTGATGAGGATAGAGCACATGATTTGCTGTAGTTGACAACTAGGGTAGATATGTCTGGGAGAAGAGTTAAGTGGTGGGAACTTGAAGTGGGGATGGCAACGATGTGGGCTTTTGGTTTCTATTTTTCATGTCATATTTCCTAGACAACTACTAAAAACAGAAAGTAAACAGTACGATTCGTTTATATAATACAAATAATATTTATAAAAAATAAATCCATTGCTCAGACTTGTCATTTATTGGACGAGCTTTAAAGTTGAGTTCGAGATTGATTCTTTTTATTAATAAATGAGTTGACAAAACTTTAGCTTGGATCAATCACGAACTGACAAGTTTTTTTTTTTTTTTTTTATAATTGTGTATAACAAAAAACAAAACACAAAACAGAGCAAGGTCATGTGCACACCTACTGACAACCTACTACAATACCAACCTACTACAATACCAGTTTATCAAACATAAACCCAAAGTCAAGGTTATTGGATTATGTAGTTCAAGTGATAATAGAGAGGAATTGTAAAACTCAAACGATTTTTTAGGGTCAGACCATGAAAAATTTATCCCTCAATGAATATTTTGATCCTGACGTTAATGACCGGTCTTTAACCAAATTATGGAACAGATTAATCGAAATACACATAAATGATTCCGACCACTCTCAAGGTTGAGGAAAGAACAAAAGAAAAAAGGATAATGGATTATGCCTGAAGCCTTGGTTTGCTTCAAAAAGCAGTATACACTTGATTTTGAAAGACTAGCTAGCAAGCATGTTATACCATTCTTGGGCTTTGGTGCATAACACAGTAAAAAAAAATAATTTCTCATTTTATATGTTTCGATGGGGATTGGCATATCAGATGATCAGGACTTTCCATCAGTCCAACTCGTTGTTTGATTTTAACTGTAAATATGTTGACATTGCTAGCTTGGTTCACCAAACATGCATAGAAAATTCAACCAACCAAAAAATAAAATAAAATAAAATTTGTGAAGTTCTGGTCAAATGAGATCTATGGACATCATATAATGGGCTGCATTTTCTGTTTTTTCTTTTCTCTCTTTTGTTTTTGTTTTTGGTATGACACATTTTCCGTTATTGCTGTATATTAAAAAACATTACCCACTAACCCATTTTTCTTTAAGAAAAATACAAATTCAACTTTTGATTCACTCGTGGGATCCGGATAGTGTAGGAGACTACCACGACTCCTCTCTTCTCGAGAACTAATACACCCCTTATCAGTAAATGGACAACTATTTCTCAAGCACAAGTTTAAGATTGGCTTCAATGATAAAATCAAATAGAATACCTAATAATACATCTTCACATGCAAGAATTAATTTTATTTTGGGTGTTCTTTGAGCCTATTTTTGATGATCATCCCCGAAAATTAGTACATCCTTAATATCCTGTAATTACCCAAAAAAAAATTATTATTACTTTATTGGCCACTTAAGAGTAATTATATATATAAAGATAAAAATAATTAAAGAAGACTAATATGTCTCTAATAAAAGTTTTGCCCTAGAGACACTTNCACTTAAGAGTAATTATATATATAAAGATAAAAATAATTAAAGAAGACTAATATGTTTCTAATAAAAGTTTTGCCCTAGAGAAACTTATTAAGNTATAAAGATAAAAATAATTAAAGAAGACTAATATGTCTCTAATAAAAGTTTTGCCCTAGAGACACTTATTAGGACTCTTATACATATGGTTTTAAATATGGTAGTATTGTGGAATAGATCAAACTCTTTATATATATGTATAGATATAGATACATATATTCTCTTCCCAACATCTACACATACATTAGAATAATAGAAAAGAGAGGAGAGACTAAGGTTTTGAGTAAAGAAAAATGAAGAAAAATAAGAAGGGGATTTAGAGAAGAATGAAGAAAACTAGAAGATTTGATCATCAAGGTTAGTCTTCAAATTGAAATTTAATTTTATATTTAATCATTATATGTATATATATATATATAGTGAAGAATAGTGATGGATGTATAAATGAGTTTTATTGAAAGTTGTTAATTTAAGTATTTTGAGACCTAATATAAATTTATTATTTTTAAGACCTTTAAAGAATTTGTTTAATGTCTTACAAAGCAAAAAGAAAACAAAGGGGAAAGGAATACTGGTTAAGGTTCCGCCGCGGGAAGACGAAGACTAATTCCAAAAAAAAAAATTACAAAAACTCCCTTTTAATTTCAAAGAGTTTTATTTTGACTCATTTATTCTTCTAAACTTAATTTTTACGTACTTTTTTACTTGGTTAGTTGCAAGAACAGATTCTGAAAAATTTATGACAAGCCCGAAAATAGAAAATTCGTTTTTCAAAGAAATTATACTTTGGCCCCAAAAATTTCAAAGATAATTTTTGACCCCAAAACTTTAGAAAACTTTTCTAAACAGCCCATAATACTTTTATACCTTATTATTTCATATTAGAAAGGATATTTATATGTAAAATATATATTAAGTATATATCAATGGGTAAGAAATATAAAAATTGAATATAGAATCGTGAAACGACGAGATTAGGAAAAAGAATTGACTATTATATGTTATTTTGGATTGGGTAGTGATTGCATTGAGATTGAGAAAGAGTGTTTTGAATTGGATTTTAGAAATCAAGGTGAGTAGTTTACTACTTCTTTTAGGAGGATTTTCTATATTAAACTTGCGAGTGCGTATGTGTGAATTTTTCACATATATGATATATGTTGATGTTTGAGGTTGCAATTAAATATTTTGCAATTGTAAATTGTTATACATGTGAATTTGAAAATCTTATAGAATGATTTTATATCATTGCTTAAATGTGTTTTGGTGATAAAAGAGAAATTTTGTGTGCGTTGAGACTAAAACAACAGTTTTTGTGTGTGTTGAAATCATGTTTTATGAGAAGGGGATTGAGTTACTAGGTCTAAATGGTAACGAGATTGTATACCGGTGTGGTCGGTATAGGGATGTGCATATAGGAGCCAGTTATCAGGCTAGTAATAGCAAGAAACAGGGTNAACTTAAGGTACCATTGTCGAGAAGCTTGTTTAAGTCCATATATTGACTTCTTAAGTTTGCAAACCATGTGCTCTTTTCCCTTAGTGGAGAATCCTTCAGGTTGATCCATATAGACTTCTTCCTCTAAACTTCCATTTAGAAAAACGGTTTTCACATCCATTTGGTGTAACTCCAAATCATAATGGGTCACCAATGCCATAATAATTCTAAGTGAGTCATTCTTGGATACAAGAGAGAAGGTCTCTTTATAATCAATGCCTCCTTTCTAAGTGAAACCTTTGGCTACAAGTCTAGCTTTATGTTGTTTGATATTGTCATTGGAGTTGCGTTTGGTCTTAAAGACCCATTTACACTCGGCTTTCTTAAATCCTTCAGGCAATTCTACTAGATCCCAAACTTCATTATGTTCCATTGATTTCAACTCATCATTCATAGCATCAATCCATTTAACAGAATCATCACTTTCCATGGCTTGTGAAAATGAAACCGGATCTTTACATATCCCTATATCAAAGTCAGATTCTTGTAGATATATCACATAATCATCCGGAATAGCTGGTCTTCTTTCTCTTTGAGAACGTCTTAATGCTACCCCTTGTGATTCTTCTACTATCAGTTCAATGGTGACAACCTCATTATTGAGTGGTTGATCATTTAATTGTTGTTCAACGTTGTCATATTGTACAACAATTGTAGGAACAACAATATCATTAGAAGTTATGGGTGATGGGACTTTTTTCCTAACTTCTTCAATAATCACATTTCGTGATTTATCACTTCCACTGGTTTCACCATTCTCAATGAATCTGACATTACCGGTTTCAACAATTCTTGTACTATGGGTATGACAGTAAAACCTATACCTTTTGGATTTTTCTGGGTAACCAATAAAGTAACAGC